GGTGTTCTTTGTGTCCGTTTCATGCGTGTTTGTAAAGTCCCCAGCGACACAGGATATATTCCTAATGCGGGAGTTGTCTTTTTTAAAAAGAAAAAAAAGAAAAGATAGTAAAAATAAAATATACAGCTTTTACTTACTACAAGAAAATAACTAGGTACAACTATGCCAATAGACTGCACTGGAGTGGAGGCTACGAATTACGCCGGGTGTTTTAGGGTTTCCCATCCTAAAATTTATCAGATTAAATTGCTGTCCCGATTCTTTGTGTAGCTGTTATCAGAATGTTTATAAAGCTCTCATAACATATGATGTCATTAGTAATAAGGGGGTTGTCTTTGTTAAAATAAAAAAAGAATCATCAAAATCGGTTCACCTAGTCAAAAGTTCTGAGGTAACAAACATTAAAAAAAATACAGTCGAATTGAGAACCACCTTCTTTTTTTGAAGTCGGTTAAAAAAGAAAAAGTTTTGGCCCAGATTACCGGTTGAGAAAATATGTTGGTACCTAGGACTTTTTTTGACGATTGTCTTTAGTCACCGAAGAGTTAAGAAACTAACTTAAATTCCTGATAAACACTGACTATACTACCAGGTCCTTTTAACACTGTTTCTGACAACGACTCTTGATACAATAATCATCATCATCATCATCAACAGCCTTTAATAGTCCACTGCTGGACATAAGCCTCTCTTTAAAAAGGAGGTTTTGGCCTACTATACCACGCTGGCCAGACGGGTTGGTATAGGGTTTGTGTCAAGTTTTCCTTCTCTCTGCAGTGCTGTTGTTCTGCGTAGTTTTTTCCCTTAGTCGGCTCTTACGACACCCACGGGATGAATAGGGGTGGTGACACTCTGTATTCTTAATCCGTCACCACACGGAGACAATAATCAATGCGGCCTATGTTTCTCTTAATATTTTTTAAATTCAAAATCGAAGATGTCATCAACACCTTTGATCTTAAGATTGCTTACTTTTTTATTTTACTGAATCTTACCTAAATAAAATCATTTAGAGTAAACTGTCTTAAATCGAAGTCTTTACACCATCTCTATAACAACATTGCTTCTGTACAATCACATGCAATTGTAATCTCGGCGCCAGCACCATCAGAGCGCTTGTGATGCAAATGTGGACAAAGTTGTTCTGTGCCTCAGCCAAGACTCTAGGTTATGTTTGTTAACAGTAATTTACTCCTAAATGGATATACACTGTAACAATTAATGCACCCAATAGGAAAGCTACTATTTCTATGTTACTTGTTTGAAACTAATATAACGTGTACTGTTTACTAAGCATGCATGATAAGCATTTGTTTTATCTTTTGGTAAGCTATTATCAAAGCATAAGAGAAGGAAAACTTGACACAAACCCTATACCAAACCGTCTGACCAGCGTGGTATAGTAGGCCAAAACCTCTTTAGACTATTTGAGGCTGTTGATGACGTTTGTATGTCATAGTTTAGTTAAATAAAAATCCGAATATGATATGCTTTATATTTGTTACATCACGTAATGCATAGAAGATGTTACAGGAAACTTGGCAGTGCAAAAAATAGCGTAGTCAAAATTTATCTGTTGTGTGACATAATGTGTGTAGAGACATGTGACAAGATGGGATGAAAGTAATTAGCATAGTTTATTCCATGAATGTACAATGCGAAAAAGTTTCTACAAAACGTGGATGGATAGTGTGTGAAGGAAACACAAGACAATATCTGAGAAGTTAAGAGTATTAATAACTGGATACGAATCACACATCTCTGATTGCAAACTAAGCAGAGACCGTACTATGGTGAAGGAGTCGGGTTTGGTTCACATAAATAACAAGAGATTGTGTAACTATTAAGAGATTTAATCCACACAGTACAACGGTTACAGCACAAGTCCATTAAATCGAATATCCACTGCCAACCCGCATTGCTGTTTTTATTATCTCTGGAGAACGAACGAGTGAATGTAAAAATACCATCTTAGTACTAATACAAGTTGTCATTATCGAGTATCGGTATAGAGTCTACGAGTAAATAGTCGACTAAATGTAGTGTAAGTTAACAATGGTAACCAGACCACTGATAAAAATACTTTCGTATTTCTAAATACCAGGCATAGAACAAACCGCCCTTCTCATAACACAATGATCTGTTTTGACCGGAATCGTGCCCATATCTGGCTCAGCGGTTAAACACACCAACCACTAAACAAACAGGGCAGTCAACTTTAATCCTTAATACTGGAGACAAGAACAGAATAGATCTGAACTACTTTTATAGATGTCAAGAACTACTTGACATCTATAAAAGCCAACTACGCAGAAAAGCTAATATTTTTGATGACTGTTTGACCTTTTGTAGTTAATTTACGTGGCGTAAACGTGAATAAAATGATTTAACCAATAAATATAGAATAGAATAGGGGTAGTGCCATTCCGCATTCTTAATCCGTCAATCATTATAAAGGACTAATTGGTTTCTGGTAAAAAACTACACGTAGGACTTCAATTTCATTCAATAAGTTAAAAAATTACAGCTCCATAGCACCAAAACTGGTGCTGCCATGTGTAATCAATACTTAATTCTTCTCAGAGAAGCTGTAATCTTGGTAACTATTAAAAAAATTCAATATCATTATCATTACTTTGAACAGATTTAAATATTATTAGTGATTCAAGGAAGATTGAAGTTATAACTCAATTTGCTTTTATCGTGCTAAAGGCAAGCAGTTTCAAAAGCCTTATTTTAGCCTTGAATACGAGTACTTGCTCGGTTTTATTACTGTTTTATGGCCCGACTCTCTATTATGAAAGAATCTCTGAAACGATGAGAAATATTTTATGTGGTATTTCGCTAACACATTACAACACGTACAAATTCTTTAACTCTCAATATAGATTATAAGTTCAGACCATTTTCGGATTACATCTTATTTGCTTCTTTTCCAATATACTTCGTACCCCTCGAATATTTCAAGTGAAAGAGTATGGTATAGAGGATTTATTGATTGAATATACTTCAAGCAGACTGCTTTAGTTTTTGTGGCTCTGTAAGCACAATGCGAATATTATATAGGTAGCTAAAAGATTCTTTTCTTTATAAAACTAAGTCTGAAAATAATAATAACAGATATACTTAAGCAGTTATGTATTTATGTATATTTGCTGGTTTGTATAAGTATTTGTTTTTATGTATATAAATATGTATGTGTGTATATTATACATATATCTAGTTATTATCTCTTTTATATTCGTTAGGAATTAACCTGAAAAACCCATTTCACCGTCAACTACTACTCTCTCTCTCTGGAACATTTTGATCCATCCTAAGGTTGCTTGGAAGAGATTGCTCTTAGCTATAAGGCAGCCCTTTGTACATTATATACCTGACACTTTTATGTATAATACTTCTTATAAAACGGTGTACAAATAAAGAGTTCTATCTATCTATTTAACTTCACACATCTCACACACGGCTTAGTTGAGGTGGTTGTGTTGTGCCAGTACTGCCAGTAGACTCAATTATATTAATCTCAGGCAGTTTTTTGCTGCCAATCGGTTTTCAGAAGGTAATAAAGCACATTATAGTAAAGAACAGACATCCACTTGCTATCGGCTCTGAACTGACAAAAATATATTCAATGAAGTTTCAATAATGTCTTCTTATGCAAGTAAATCATCGTTAAATTAAAATGCTAATTAAAATATCGTCAAATACTAATTGAAAAGATATTAAATGTGCTAATGTGCAATGAAAATGATAATACATAATATCTATAACAAAACTTCTGCCCATTTTCAGGGTTATTCCAGATATTTATACGATATATTTAATTTCTATAGTATATTATTACATAAAAACTTTTTTTTTTACATAAAAAAATTCGCGGCCTAAAGTAATATTGAAATGACTCGTAGTCCTATTACGATAAATAGTACCTGCAGGAATTAACTAAACAAAAAATGTGACTGATTATTTAAATTGTATTCATTAGCCAACAGTACGTTAATTTAGCCAAAAAAGAAAGCGAAGAAAGGAAAAATTATCTATTTTATACTAGAACTAAACGTAAACATTGCATATTCTGAAATAACAATTATTTTATACCAATCAAACATAGATGATGAAAAGATGGAAAACTTGTTTAAATAACAAAAATAATAGTTTTATTAACATGACAACAAATTGTACGCTGTCGGTACCTATTTGCTTGTTAGTTATTATTGAAAAAAATAGTCATTCCTTTGAACACCATTCAAAGAAGATTGGCGTTTTCATATAATTCATGTTTATTTAACAAATAGTTTCAAAAGCCTTACTTCCCAATAAAAACTGGTTTTAAATGCTAATCTTTTGTCTAAACTCACTTTTATCAAAAAATCACTACAGCGATGCGAAATAATTTAAGTAAAATTTTACCAACATATATAATATTAAGTTTAAATACACTCGGAAAGTTTAATAATATATTTCAGACCCTTTACTGACTTCCTCATTCTTCTCAGCCGTTCTAAACCATATTGGTGTCTGGTCCTTCAGATCCTGTGAATCCAGTTAACTCACTTAGAACCCGTCAAATATTCAATTGCAAGAATATGGTGAACAGGATTTATTGATTGGTGTATTCAACACTTACAGTAGATTGCATCACTTGTTACGGTACTGCGAGCTTAACAATGCGAACGTATATGGTTTCTGGAATTTTGAGGTGTCTGCAGTGTGGTGTCAGTAGTGCCAATTATATTAACTTTTGGGCTTTAATGATGACTGCAGCAGCTCGAAAAGGCAGTGTCGCATGAAAATATATCCGAACTGCAATTGGAGAATCCACTAGGGCCGTCATCAGATGATAATCGACCCAAAACGAACGACGTTTTACGTAAATAGTCGTAATTAAACTAAAATACTAATTAAAATATCGTCAAACAATAATGACGGTGATTTGCCTCAGTATATATAAATCATAGCTATCGAAGATCCATTATCAGTATCATTTTACTGCCCTAACAATGAAGTACTTGGTAAGTACTTATTTCAATTTCTGAATACTTTTATAGATATATACTCCTTTATAGAACTTTTTACTGCATATCCTTTTTATAAAAATTGTCCCGTAGATGCATATTTTTGAGTCAGTTTAAAGCTGTACTGGTTTATAAGGCTATTATCAAACTTATAACGTTTGACATTTAAGCCCAAACAAATACGAGTAATAATGAGGAACAATCAAAACTTTGATGCGAACTTTGACCAATAGATTGGGGTATCTGAAACTTTATAATAAGGTCTTTTCATTTACTTATGTTGGTTTGTCAATTTTATTAGGAAGGTTGTTCAAATCGATTTTACAATTGAGTTTAATACTGATGTTACTGAGGATTTAGGTGAATATTAGATGTCATTTCTTACAAAATATTTAACACAACCAATTCATAACTAAAGACGAAATGCTTTTTATACTGATCTAAAAATAGTTAATATTGTATTATATTTTTATTCTATTTATTGATCTGACGAGGGCTAGAAAAGTATTTTAAAGCGCTTTTTTCTTTCTTTCAAAAAGCCATATATAACCATTTTAATTATAATTTTCAGGTAATCTTTCTTGCCGTCTTAGCTGTTCTGGCGGCCGTTCAGGCTAAGCCATTCTTACCAGGCTTGGATGTTGTTCAAAAGGCAGTAGGGAGCCTAGCAGGAGGCGCTGTGGGTGGCGCGGCTGGTGCAGTCAAGGGCGGTGTGGATGGCATTAAAAATGGCCTTCACAATGGTGTTGATTTTATGGATGTTGGAAGAGGTTTAATAAACCAATGATTTGAACATAAGTGAAATAAATGTGATAGAAAAGTATATAATCTTTTATTATGCTCTATTATTCTTAATGTAGCGATCCTTCTATAGGGTTTGCGGCAGGTGCATCACATCAACCGCCTCTACTAGTCCACTGCTGGACATAGGCCTCTCCTTAGAAAGGAGGTTTTGGCCTACTATACCTTGCTGGCCAGACGGGTTGCGATAGGGTTTGTGTCTAGTTTTCCTTCTCTCTGCAGTGCTGTTGTTATGCGCAGTTTGCTTCCTTAGTCGCCATTACGACACCCACGGGATGAATGGGGTGGTGACACCACAGGCAAGTGCGCAAGTAGGCAAATAATGTTATGATGGGATTTCTAACTGGTTTCTGTGGTACTTTATTTTATAGTGTCTTTACTTGTCAGCGTTATTGATACGATATCTTAAAGTGCATTTCCGCAAAAAAAATACAATAAGAAAATCTAATTCTTCTCCAAATTTATTAATTTCATTATCCGTGTGATTACGGATTAAGAATACGGAGTGTCTTCTATCCATCCCGTGGGTGTCGTAAGACCCGACTAAGGGAGCAAACTACGCACGACAAGCTACAGTGGTTTAATAGGCCCAAACAACCTATTTAAAGAGAGGCCTAAGTCCAGCAGTGGACTACTAACGGCTGTTTATATGATGATGATTATTTAAAACGATATATGAAGTTACAACGGCCTTGGTGTCTCTCGAACGTCGCGTCTTTTCGACGGCTCCATGTGAAGACCACTATTATATCTACGTACGTAACGTATAGCGATACGGGTATACATTGATCTTTGTCTCGGAATAAACCTTTGACAGGACACAAGTCTTTTATTTCCGCATCCATGGCCGGCCGGTTGCGCACCGCTATTAACAGTGTCCTGAAGGTGTTTACGGATCGGTGGGACTCCCTTCTGTTGCGCCACCTGTTGCGCCACTGGGCAAATATCCACACCAGTCACCATAATAATTGATTGTGTATTACTAACATTAGTCCTTAAGTTACTTTGTTTGTACTTACCCTATGGACTATGTCTGAAATAAACTATTTGAATTTATTTAGCAGTGGCAACGAGGATAAATAATTTTAATACAAAAGTGAAATGAAAGTAAAATAAAATTTGTATCGGTAAAATACGTGAGTTTGATTAACAATCCAGGAACTATAGTTAAACCGCCGTAAGCTTAGCCCTCCTGATGGTTTGGGGGACGCGGGGCGGGGGTGCATTCAACCAATTAGCTAGTGCGTCGCTGTCCGCCGGCAGTGACTGACGTGAAAGCGTGGCTGTATGTGTTATTTTTCTTAAGACTGCTACACACGGTATTATTTTGCAACATGGATAATCTGCCGACTCTGCGTCACAAAAAGATTCAAAAACTTGAAGTTCGGCTTACAGAGGTTCTACTGTTAAAGTTCTAATAAAGAATATTTATTATTTTACTTAATTTTTTAATTGTATCTGAATATAATTTACATGATGAAGATAAGGTTATTTTATTAAAATTGTTTTACAGTATTAAATTTTACAATTAATCATAAAACTTACAATACACTGACTTTATAATACATGGAAATAAATTCGATTTTTATTAGGTACATCGTGTGTAGATTAAATCTCAAACAAAGAAATCTGAAGATATCGAGTTAGTACATCGTGTCATGTATAGCCGAGCGCATCACCCGCCCCGCGTCCCGCAAACCATCAGGAGGGCCACGCGTACGGCGGTTTAACTATAGATGGTATACATTTATAGAATTGAGATGAGAACAAAATCAGCGACGATATGAAGTTACCTACACTTGTGTCGTTAATGGGTAATAATCATATGAACTGTTATCTAGTTAAGCGAGCCCTTCATTAACCATCTTCGTTAACTTACAAAAAGGCCGTAAATTTACTACAAAATCATTTGCAACCAAAACCGTCGGCGATGGCAGAAAGGTATAGATTTCGACAGCGGCGACAATTTGCGGGCGAGTCTATTGAGGGGTACGTAGCGAAATTAAGAAAATTGACATGGGACGAGCCGAAGGGTCAGCTTTAATTGATAAACATCAATGATACTAAACGGATTTTAATAGGTATTTCACTATTTATCACCTCAGAGCGATACAGGTCCTCCTCAACTAAGTTTTATGAAATGCCTAATATTTAAAGCCTTAAATATTTCTAAAGCCACACTATTTATGCGGTCATTGCCTAATTTTACAATTATTTGTAAGTGGGGATTTTTTAAAACTTAGATACCTCCACTATTCACTAAAATTATATTAAACTAGCTGACCCGCGCAACTTCGTCTGCGTCTCTCAATAGTAATAAATTTTCTCCGTTTTTAAAACATTCTTCATTGGTGCTCCGCTCCTATTGGTCTTAGCGTGATGATATATAGCCTATAGCCTTCCTCGATAAATGGGCTATCTAACACTGAAAGAATTTTTCAAATCGGACCAGTAGTTCCTGAGATTAGCGCGTTCAAACAAACAAACAAACAAACAAACTCTTCAGCTTTATAATATTAGTATAGATCAAACGTTTAAAGAAATGTCTGGTTGTACTTGTTCTATAAGTTTTTCAGTCTGGTTAGCAACTGCATACATTGAATTTTATTTATTGCTTAATGTAACCTTTGGTATAAACTTAAATAATATCTCAAAATGTTTTTTTAATCACCGAACCTATAATTAGACACTATCACGCCCACAAGAGCCTACCGAACCCAATTACTAAATAACGTCTTAAACAATAAAAATAATAATTCCTACTTACCTCTCTTCAACAATTCTAAAAAATTTATAAACAAACAACTTGGCATACCAGCATTACGTCTCACCAAGCAGTAAGGGGTTTTTTTTATTGGGACTAATCCCACCCACACGCCCACCACTGTAACTCCTGTACATCCACAGCAGTGACCCACGAACACACCGAGTTATGACACTCGGAAAGTACCAGCAAGAAATTAAACTGTCTTGAAACCCGCAACGAAATTAATCAGAAGAAAATTAGGAGACACTTCAAAAGCAGCAGTACTAAAAGTTAGAAGGTCCGGGTTTCCTGGCAGCAGACACGTTGAGGCACAGATATATAACCCTGGCTTACAAAGGTTTCTCTTTTAATCTACTTTATAATGTGCTCTGAATTTCTCATCGTTAAAGGTCATAATTCAATAGAGCCAACCGGTACCCGAACACCGCCTCGCTTCGAGCGGTTAGTATTCTTGATATGAAGTACTGTGGGTAAACGCTAACTACACCAACTCCGGAGCGCTTCCCCCCCGGGTTGACCATGCGCGGACTCCGAGAGGACCACTCGGTCACCGGGCGTTGTCCGCGAGTGGTTCACGCACGTAGACAATGCATGGGCGACACACCGCTCCCCCTCGAATGACCTTAATTTTCATGTGCCTGATTGTAGTTAGACCAACTGTAGTTAGCAAAGGACAGGTGTGTACTCTGCATATTTTCAACAGTATATTAGCAACATTCAATCCGTGGGAAAGCCATACTTTGGGATTGATACCGAGGACTCTTAGCAAAACCGATACTAAGTAATTTTGCTTTTCATCGAGTGACTGAGGTACCTCTCTCCCTAATTCTCGGGCCACTCAAAAGGGGGGCGGTAGTTACTTACCATCACGTGACCCGTCTGTTCGTTTGCACCCTATGGTATACCATAAAAAGAAAAAATTCTACCTTCAGACTCTGTCGATTAAACTCAAAGGCAGAAAATTAATATATATATATATTACATAAATTGACATTATTGTAATGAATATACGAACTTCCGATGTCCAATTTAAGTTTGTTTTCTTATGTACAAAGTACTATTAATTCACATAAAAATTCCCATACCATGTATTATAAAACCTTATTTCTACATTATGTTTTAACGATATTCGTGATAGATTTCTGATCTCCATTTGACACATGTACATTCACAGGCTCTAAAGTATAAAGAGGAAGGTTTAAAAATACAGTTAAAAATACCCAATTAATTAGGAATTTGAAACAAATACTTAGAAAAATGGGTCTAATTAAATGAAGAATCCACTTTAAATATTAAAATAAAACCGTTTCGTTTATGCTCAAAAGGAGGGATATGTTGTCCTTGTTATATAATGAAGGCTTTTGTTGACATTGATGAATTACCTGAAACAAAGAATATTAAAATGTTTAATTGGGATAATTTTAATTAATGCTGGACCATTCATTGTTATGTAAAACTTTATGGTGTATGCCGAGTGTCGTGAACTCTCTATATAAGAGATGTACACAGATTCTCTTTATTTATATACTAACTTTTGCCTGTGGCTCCTCCCGTGTCAGGTATCGCGGTTAAAAGTATAATCAAAGTATATCCATGTCAAATTTAAAATCTGTCCAACGGTTTAGCGGTGAAAACGTAACAGGTGGACAGAGTTACTTTCGTATTCATAATATTAGTAAGTTTACCCTAGTGGCTCTCCACTCACAACTGAGCCACATAAGTTCGAGACCCCATTCTCTTGACAGTAGCTTCAATCACGCATGGCGTAGTGGTTCCTACAGCGCTGAGTGTTGTGGGCTCGATCCCCGCATTGGACAGCACTTTGTGTGATCCACAAATTGTTCTGAGTCTGGGTGTTCTTTGTGTCCGTTTCATGTGTGTCTCTAAAGTCCCCCGCGACACAGAATTTATTCCTAGTGCGGGAGTTGTCTTTTAAAAAAATAGAAAAGAAAAAAAAAAAGAAAATTGAATCAGTCTGCGTCATTACCCCTATCCGAGATTTGCGGTGCCCTAGCTCTCTCACTCTATCCTTTTTTAACCTTCCTTTGTCTCGTCTGAAAATTCCTTCCCAGCCTAGTGGGCAACCGGCTATAAAGGAAGCTAGGTAAAACGCTTTGCAATATTACACACTGTCCTGATCCCAAATAAAATAATGAAAAGGCAGATAGATGACCATGATGGTGACCTTATGGCGAACCAAACATTACGCTAACTGGATTCATTAATAATATTAAGAGGTAATTATGGCACTCCCACATGTGTGAGGATACATCTCAAACACGGCCATCTGATCCCAACTTTGGCAAAACATATAAGATGGTACCCAGACTGCTGATAAACATACTTATATATTTCTAAACACATACACATTATACAATAGTTACACCCTAACACAGAAACTATAGTGTCACATCACAAAATTATTTGGGTGATCAAATCTACGAGCCCTGGCTTGGCAGCCGGGATTATTAACCACTACACCAATAGCTGGACAATTATATTAAAACACGATTCGACACTTTTAAATCCAACGCTTTAACAACGCCTGTTACAAACACACTGAACATAGGCAATCGACAAACAATTACTGGATGACAATGCCTTAAAATCACCAATTAAAAAAAATTAGGGATACCACAAAAATGTTGTCAATGAAACCTCATTTGGAAAAGTTAGTACATCAAAGGAACAATCGGCTCAGCAATTAAAATATCATTATTGTCTAATGGCTGTGGTTCGTTGTGTATAAAAGACATTGCTTCGTTAATCGATATTCATTAGATTTACTAATTCAGTGACAATGAAGGTCTTGGTAAGTTACATTTGATATTTATTCTTCTTTATTTATAGCATTACTTTCTTCTTTCTTATTATTTGATTGTATATTATTTCAACGGTCTTAATAAGCCGATACTAGTCTATTATAACGTGTTTACAATACATACAATAATTTATTTATTTATTTTATATAATAATAATAATATATTTATTTGACGGGCCTGTTGATCTAGTGGTTAGTGACCCTGGCTGCTAAACCGGAGGTCGTGGGTTCGATTCCCACCCAGGACAAATATTGTGTGATGAGCACTGTCACTTGTTCTGTCTGGGTGTATTTTATCTATAATATGTATGTATTTAAAAATATATAAGTATGTTTCTCAGCAGTCTGGTTACCATAGCACAGGCGCTGCCTAGTTTGGGATCAGACGGCCGTGTGTATTATTATATTATTTACGTATATTTATATCTTTATTGTTTACAGTTAACACATAAAAAACTTACAAATATATAGACGTAACAATCGGCGGTCTTATCGCTCACGGCGATCTCTTACAACAACCTTAATACGGATATTAGATATTTAAAAAGTTGGGTAGTTTACATACACGTAACGCATTTTCACCTGAATATTTAAAAATATAAACAAAAGCATTCATACACAAATAAACATCTGTTCACATTGGGTGAATGTGAATATACAGTCCAAAATATATACTATTTGTGTTTATATTGTATTGTAATAAAAAGGTGAATCTCGCCTTAGAAATAGTTTGTCTCGGTACTTAATAAACTTAATAAACATTTAAGTAACTTAAGCCTGTTATTGTCCAGTATAGGAATTGAACCCCCACTTAAAGCATAGATAAGATAAACTTAGATAGCTGCGAGGCGTTCATTTAAGCATTACGACATCCACGCAGTCAAACAAATAAAAAAAATAGATACAAACAAAGAACTACAATTGTTCTAAATAAAAGTTTTAATTTGCTATTCTAGATTATTCTTGTGTTGGCTTTGGTGGCCGCCATTCACGCCACGCCGTACATACACGGCATTTACGGCCGTGGTGGACGGTATGGAGGAAGTGGAGGAGGAATCGGAGGAGGAATCGGAGGAGGAAGCGGAGGAGGAATCGGAGGAGGCTACGGAGGCGGCAGTGAGTACGACCACGCTGGCTTCCACAGAGGAGACAACGGTTATCTTGACGAGGGCTATGGCAGCCATGGATTTGGGGAAGGACATGATATTCGGCATCAGGAAAATGAATTTGACAAGGTACGTAATTTAAGAACCGTAACTTTTCTTGACAACTATACATTGGATACTATAGATACTTGTCCGTGTGGTGACGGATTAAGAATACAGAGTGTCACCCACCCCTATTCATCCCGTGTCGTAGTCGCAAGAGCCGACTAAGGGAGTGAACTACGCAGGACAACAGCACTGCAGAGAGAAGAAAAACTTGACTCAAACCCTATACCCACCCGTCTGGCCAGCGTGGTATGGTAGGCCAAAACTTCCTTTCTAAGGAGAGCCCTATGTCCAGAAGTGGACTATTAAAGGCTGTTGATGATGATGATACATTAGTTACCAAATATTTTGCTAATCAAGAGTAATAATAACCACTAGTCAATTTATTTTAAGATCTTGTTCAATTTGATTGAAATATCTGTACCAGTACGATTTTATTTATTATTTTCTTTGTTTTTTTACCAGTCGGTCCATCACCACCAGGTAACGGACCAGAACATCGGTGGAGTGTCGTCGGGCGGTAGTAGAGGCCACCTCGAAACTGGTCACGGTGGTTTTGAATCAGGCCTGAATGACTACGGTCGGCAGTATGGTCATGGCTACAACTACGGGATATAACGTGGTAGTGCCCCGTGATGTGTTATTAAAGCATATTTGACTATACCTTCATTAGTTTTATTGCAACGCAACATCTTGTGTATATACTCGTATTAAGATATATTTAAGCACCATTATCGGCAGTTTGGTAACATAGTAGACTCTTACTTTTTTTTTAGGCTCTTCCTAGGGTGGAGTTTAACTACCGTTAAATGGAAAAATCATCATTCATCCCGTGGGTTTTGTAAGAGCCGACTAAGGGAGCAAACTGCGCAGGACAACAGCGGTGCAAAGAGAAGGAAAACTTGACACAAACACTACGAGTATACCGTCTGGCCAGCGTGGTATAGTAGGCCAAAACCTCTTTTCTAAGGAGAGGCCTAAGTCTAGCAGTGGACTGTTACAGGCTGTTGATGATTTATGAAATGTAAAAACATTTTGCGAGCCAAGGGAAATAAGATAAGTTACAAACAGAACTAATCACAACATAGACTAAATCTTAAAACGGACAAATCTGTGTCATATCTATACCTACAAGAACAAAGTAATGTTGTGTATAGTAAAACAACTAGTCATTGAACGGAGTACATATATCCAGAAAGTCACATACATACCTACGACCCTCCAAACTGGCAATACCTCCGACGTACAGTCGAAAACATTATTCCTGTAATGAACAGGATTTCCGCAGCATCTCCTCCATCGAGACGTACTAAAAGATCTTTCTCCGTACCAAGTAACTACCATTGCCAAATTTTACCAAACTATAAAGTTTTGCCAACCGTAAATAAAATTGGAGGGTAGAAAAATTATGATTATAACAATGTTATCATACGAGTAGTTATAATGACAACGGGCTTACTTTAAATCATATTCATTTGATGCAATGATTAGTTTCAGTCACAGCGATTTTACATGTGATTGTGGAATCGTCATAGACACAGATAAATTGCATTAAAATCAATCAAAATATTTTTTTTTTTAGATTTAGACCTTTGGCGAGTCTTGCGCTAGCGTTATTATAATAATTAAGTAGTAGTTTTTTTTTAAATCAGTCACAGTTGCGACGAATGATATTATTCTGATATTATTCTGATATTAACCAGTGATATTATTCTGTTATTACGTGTGTTTATTTCAGCGATCAACATTGCATACTCGTTATAAAATTTATAAAATGTGGATTCACACAGATTAGAGACAGGCTACATTCAACCAATTTAATTATATATACGTTATGTGTCACCAAACTGTAACATAGAACGTTTACTTCAGAATTTGAACTACAAGTTACGTAATTATAGTATGATTGACTATTGCATTATTATGTTGGGAGAAATAGATTTTAAAGCTTCATGTACTGACCATATAGCATTGATAAAATCTATTAGGGAAGCCGTACAACATATTTCTAATACAAACATAATTATATGTTCACCTACCTATATATGTGGCGCTCCCATATATAATTACAATATAGAATTATTTAATAATCTTTTGTCTTTAGAGCTTCAAAATTATGCCTATGTATACTTTTATGATTCAAATCTCATAGTTTCTTTTGATATGTTCTCATTAAAAACTGGCAAGCTTACTTATTTAGGATTAAGACATATCTACTATGATCTGTTGTGTAATATTGTTGCTGATTACAATTATTATGGGTATTCAATACCTATTCCTCAAACTACAAAACCGGATGATAGGTGTCCTAAGTTTTTTCTTGCATAATAATAATTATGGGAGGAATATTTTTACAAATAAAACCACTATTCACAAAATCAAAGAGAATTGTACCAATAAAAAAAAAGTAACAAAATATTATTGTATTACCAAAATGTAAGAGGTCTACGCACCAAAACTGCTATATTTTACAAGAACGCTATAACTATAGCCAGCATCTTGTCAGCCTTACAGAAACATTCCTAAATAGCTCTGTTAATGACGCTGAACTCTTTCCACCTGAATACGTTGTCCTGCGGAAAGACCGTCAAGGTGACGTCGGGTGGGGGGGTGTTCTATTGGCAGTAAAGAACTGTTATAATGTGAAAAAAGTTACAAATGTAGATGACTTAACTGATGATAAAGAATTATTATTTGCTATTATTACCAGGAAGAATGTTAAGCTAATGGTTTGTGTTGAGTGGAGTCTAAAAAACAAGTTATCATTTAATAATTCCAAATGTAAAACTATCACTTTTTCTCGATCCCGTAATCCGATTACAAATACATATCATCTTGCAGGCGCCCCAATGGAACGTGTTCCCTCAATCAAGGATTTGGGAGTAACAATGGATAACAAATTAAATTTTCATGACCAGATACTTAAAATATGCAAAGACGCTAATAAATGCCTTGGTTTCATCATCAGAATATCTTCACAATTTAAGAACACTCAAGTTATAATACAAATATACAATACTTATGTGCGTAGTAAATTAGAATATAATGCAATAGTCTGGGGTCCACGGGAGTCGTTGTATAATATTATGATAGAAAAAATTCAACGTAAATTCTGTAGATACCTATATAAGCGTCAGTATGGATACTACCCCTTTCTCTATCCTTCACTGTTTGTGTCAGGAATGGTGGGTTTTAGATACACTTCAACTCAGACGGGAATCTACACATATAATGCATTATTGTTTGATACTGGCGAATAAGGTAGATAGCCCTGTTGTACGAGAAACAATACATTTTTATGTTCCCGACCAATATATGCGTGCCGTTGGAAGACGACAACATAGACTCCTGTGCTGTCCGCCTACATGGCGCTCTCCCCAGGCTGACCATAGCCCCACTGCTATAGCAATTAGGCTTATCAATGAGTTCCTTCAGTATAGTCCAGATGCAGATATATTTTTCGACTCCCAAAGCATAATTTTAAAACATATTTATACATATCTAAATTTTAAAGAGTAATTTTATAGTTCCTAAGTTGATGTAAGGTTGTTTTTGTTTACAAATTTTATGTTGTTTCTTTTTGGTGGTCTGAGTTGTACAATTGTAATAGTATTTAGTTTATTTTGGTTAAAATTAGCATAGATATAAGCGATTTGGTGTATACTGTGATGCTTATATTTTATTAATAAAGAATTGAATTAGAATAATAATCACATCCAGATCAATAATAGCCTTGATTACACCATTAAGAATGATTTAAATAATTGTTTTAAAATCGATTCCAGTAAACAATCTCTCGACCCCTGTTTTCTTATGTAACTAGTTTTTACTAATATAAATTAGTACATTTTAATATAGGAGGATTATCTGAATACCAACTTCCTTAAAAAAAAGTGTAAAAATAAAAATACTTACGTAAAAATGGTTAAAAAGAAAAAAAACCTGATTATTGTACGTGTTTAGCACAGCTTATTTGCAAGAAAGATGATATGGGGATGTCTGTGACCAATGCCAAATAATTAAACATCACCAAACAATACTGACAATAATGTGACTCAAAAACCTTAATTGATAATTTTATGAAAATAAAATAACGAGTTTAAATACACTTATTAGCTTACTTTTATAGTAGCGATAGAATTCGTAAGAAAATATAACATTGAGACGACATAACAAGAAAAGAGCGTTATTTTTTTTGTTTTTAAGCTATTGCATAGCTTAATTAAGCGTGGAGACCGAATCCAGAAATTCCGTAACGAAAATAACCTAACACTCCGACCGGCACAGCGGTGATACTTTTTAGTTTTGCCATCTATCGATGAATAGCAGAACTTTTATTAATGTAATACCTCCCCCTTAACTTTTTTCATTTATCCTCCATTTGATTTTCTCAGTTCCTGGAGCACTTGGACCCCCCATGTTTGGGTTCGTCTGAACCGGGAAAAGGAGACGAACAATCTGGTCCCTACAGATTTTTAGCTGCTTGACTTTGTTTGGGTGTAATTTGAAAACGCTACCTTAGTGGGTTCGATTCCCGAGCCGGGCAAAATTCTATAGGCTTTTCCTGAGATAATTATTTAATACTAGCTGGTACCCGCGACTTCGTTCGCGTGGAATAGAAAAAACTTGAATTAATATCAAAGAAAAAAAAAATACTGCATAAATAAAAAATAAATAAAAAATTATAATCGCATAACTTGATAAAAAATGCTATGCATTAGCTTTACCGCGGCAGTCCCCGAGTGCCACACGTCTTTTTTTTTAAAGACAACTCCCGAACTAGGAGTAATATATAATAATAAAAACAATATTTTTAACAATGTTACCTTCTTTTTTAAGATTTTAGATTACCGATAAACAGAAAGAAAATCGGGCAACTATCAGGCAAGCTAATATTTTGTGTTTTTTTTAAGAGAACTGGCGCATTAGGAATACAACCCGTGTCACATTACACACATACATGACAGGAACACAAAGTACACCCAGATCTATAACAACTATTTGTGGATTACACAAAGTGTTATCCCATGTAGGGATGGAACCCACAACACTCAGCGCAGTAGGAAGCGGCGAGGTGACCGCTTAAACCACTACGCCATCCGTGCAGTCCACCACCAACTCACACCACAAAGGTCGGCAACGCATTTGTGACTCCAGAGTTCATGAACCCCCGCAATGGGCGGTGGTAGTCACTTTCTATCAGGTGGTTAGTCTGCTTGTTTGCCATTATATCATAAATAAAAAAAAAAAATGAACAGACTTCAAACAATACTAGCAAAGACCAACTAAGCGCACTGCTCCAATGAAACAGCAAGGTTTCGTAAGTAAACAAAAATATTATCGATGAATACAATTTTTAGATTTTGTTGATTTAAAAAAAAACCGCTCTACCGATTTCATGAACATTTAAATGTGGCCACCACCCTTTAAAGGGTATACTTCCATACCCTTCAAAAGAAAAAAAATCCAAATCGGTGCAAGCGTTTTCGAGTAATCATTGAACATACATAAAAAAAGATTCGGACGAATTGAGACCTCCTCCTTTTTTGAAGTCGGTGAAAAATACGGCATCTTAGAGCAAAAATGTTCTTCTTTGAGAGGACCTTGTAGAACATTAAAATATTCTATTTATCATCCAATCAACTTAACCAAGCCAAATCACCTTAATGTGAAAAAAAAAAACGTATTTGGAAAGTACACAGAAATTAAGTAAGTAAGAAAAAACCTCATTCAATAACGATTTATTTAACATTGCGTATAATTTGATTTAGCTAGAAATGCTATTAAATTATTATTAGTACTAATGAGTTAAAATTACTCTTGTATAATATATAAGACATGGTTTTGATTGATCGACATTCAGAAGCGTTACTACCCCAACCAAAATGAAGTGTTTGGTAAGTCTCTCACATATTCTGTAACTTAATCAACAATTTGCTGTACAGTAATTTCAAAGAATTATTCCCTTCTCGTAAGTTGGTCCGTGTGGTGACGGATCAAGAATACAGAGTGTTACAATCCCTATTAATTCCGTGGGGGTCGTAAGAGCGGACTAAGGGAGAAAACTACGCAGAACAACAACACTGCAGAGAAAAGGAAAACTTGACACAAACCCTATACCGTCTAGCCAGCGTGGTATAGTAGGACAAAACCTCCTTTCTAAGGATGCCTATGTCCAGCAGTGGACTATTAAAGGCTGATGATGATCATGTGATGTGAAGTCAATGCCTCAGACGAAAATGTATACGTCTTGGTCTTCTACTTCTTCTTCTTAGACTAAATGTGAATTTGCCATATCGTTACTGATTCAAATTGGTTGGGATTTTGTAAAATGAAAACACTCTAAAAGAGTACCTACTATTTTTTTTTTATAACTGACTATTTTTTACTGCCTCGGCCCCGCAGTGGTAGCGTATGCGACTGCTGTGCTGAGGTCTCGGGTTCAATTCCATAGTCCGGACCAAATGTTTGTATTATCTGCAAATATTTGTTCCGGAGTTTGGGTGTTTTCTATTTGTAATATATATGTATTTGCAACAAAAAAATATTTGAGTATTCTATCAATCAATCTAGCTTTCATAGTAACTTCTAGTTTGAAACTAGATGGCGATGTGTGTCAGATATATGAAAATATAATTTTTATTTCAGGTTCTCGCAGTTTTAGCTCTAGTGGCAATCGTTCAGGCCAAGCCTTATCTGCCTGGTGATAATATATACGGCCGTGGCCGGTATTCAGGCGGTGGGGGCTACGGCGGCGGCCGGGATTACGGCCATTCCGGCTTCAATAGCGGAGGCAATGGTTACCTTGACGAGGGTTACGGCGCATACGGCATGGACAATCACCATGATATTCGCCACCAGGAAAATGCATACGACGAGGTGAGGGATACAAAAACTTTTTTAGATGTAAAAGCCTACGGTTAGAGATACAGGCTCAACCCATGCTTTACGTTTATATAGCACAACTAAAATGCTTTATTTGTATTTTTACAGTCGGTCCATCAACACCAAGCTTTGGACGAAAATATCGGTGGTGTATCGTCAGGCGGTCGCAGAGGTCACCTAAATTCGGGTTACGGCGGTTATGAGTCGGGCATGAATGACTACGGCCGGGAGTTCGGACACGGATATAACCATGGAATATAAGAGGCATTATATTTCATTAACGGACTGTAATGTAATAAAATAAAACATTTGATCAATTTTTTATGTACATTATTTCAATGTAACCACCATAATGGCAATATTTGCAAAATATTTTTAATGAAAAGACTAAAGAAGCGAAAACCAGTTCACCAAAAGTATATAAGTAACTTGCAAATAAATAATTCAAACATTTTAAAAAACTATTAGGCGCCAATAACCATTCCAGCTTAATAGTTTGTTTGTAAACCGAAACCGGAACTGGATCTGGTTTTGTTACCAATACAAATTTAAAACGATAAAGTAAGAAAAGAAACACAAATTATCTACTATTTAAACTCTTTGGACAAGTCAAAAACCTTGAGGATCATAAATAAAATCCTTCTGGCGAGAACAACACTTTACTGATTCTCTTAGAACTACAGTTATGAAAAAAACATGCTACATTTTATATGGAGGTGTCGGAAATTCTTGATTGCTCGTTCATAATTCGAGCAGCGCCATCTAGTGATGGTTTTGGAACTAACGGCAATATGTCAGAGATTATGTCATTTCCAGGTTGAACACTCTTTACTATTAAATAACGTAGTGAAGAGAATAAATAAGGTATAATGTAAATATTTCTTATAGCCCTGGGACGTATATTTTTTATTCAATCCAAATAGAACCGAAGCTAAATTATTATTTATTAATAATAAACACTATAATCTGTAAAACTTGTAAAAGTAATTAAATCCTAAAGTTGTGCGTAATTAAAAACCATAATAATAAAATATACACGTCGAATGGAGAACTCCAACCATTTTTTCTCATATCCTAAAATGAATGTTTTTAATTTAAACCAAACCTAAATCATTTAAGGTCACGTCAGAAGAATAAATTACATGAGTTACATTATTTGTTAAAAATTTGTGGTTTCACTCTCTAACTGATTCAATTATTTCGAAGAACATTCTCACTACAATGAATCGTCTAAAACCGGTAAGCTGGGGATGATATTTTGTCAGATCAACTCAAATGTAAACCCCACCTCCACCTCCCTCCAGACGGCGATGTTTATTATTGTCGAATAAACAGGATTTCCTTCCTTCAAGATCAGCTGCAATATCTCCGTGGGAACACTTCTAAAGCCAATACCGGGACAATTTATGTTCGAGTATGAGAAACGTCTATTATCACGGAACATCTAATTTCAACCAACTCGTAATCATCCTTAATATAGACTAGCTGGTGCCCGTGATATCGATCTCGTAGAATTAGAAAATCGGTGCCTTAGTAGGTTCGATTCTTAGACCGGGCAAAATTTTATAGGGTATTTCTGAAAGAAAAATGGCCTAAGTTACTCCTATATACACAGCTACTTAGTACTAAAATATTATCAAAATCGTTCGAGCCGTTTTGAAGATTACCCGGAACTAACAGGCAGAAAGACTGATTTTCTTTCTTTTAACTTTTCGTGCAAATAACCGAGAGAGCATAAAAAAAAATCCTATTTTGATTTATTTGGTTTGAAATACGACACCCTAATTGTCTACCAAACTGTTTTTTTATACACCTTTGTACTATATTTTATGGTATAAGGGAGCAAGCGAGCCGGCGCTCACCTGATGGTAAGTGACTACCGCCGCCCATCGACAGCTGGAACTCAAGAGACACAAGTGCGTTGTCGAACTTCGAGTCCCTCCCACTAGAGCCAGGGGGCGGAGCACTTCGTCACAAAATCCGTGAAAAACAACGAAAGAATTGCTTAACACCGGTTTTCTGTAAAGCGGAGCTATCACTCCGGTCGAGCCGACGTAATTGTGCCAAAGGATGGCTCTCAAACGATAAAAAATGTTGTGCGGAGACGAAATTATTAACGGGACAACACTGTGTGATCCACAAATCGTTGTTCTATTTTTTATGTTAGAACGGTTCCGGGTCACCTGATAGAAATTGACTATTGCCGTCTTTTTAGGAAGGAGTACGCTCTTTTCTTGAAGGTTTGAAGGTCGTATCAGTCCGGAAATACCGCAGACCATAACTTGTTCCGAGTCTGGGTGTGCTTTGTGTCCGTTTCATGTATGTATGTAGAGTCTTTTTCTGAGTATTTTGAGTTGGTTCCTTTTAGGTGCCTATTTTGAAAAAAAAGAAAAATTATACAAAAAGCCAATACGTGCCTGGCAACTGTTATGTGTACGTACTATTAACTATTATAACACGGAGGAAGAACTACTCCGAGAAAGAAGTTGGATCCTGCAATTCGGCGAAGACAAACAGCCTTCGAGGAATCTAAGAATAACATGACAGGATACGGATCAGTAGCAATTCCATAATAATGGGTACAAAAAAGAGAATTAGGAATTCTAAAAGGAAATGTAATTTCAGTTGTAGAGATACTGTCACACCTAAAAAAATTTCAAACGTCTGACGTTTAGTCATTTATGATTCCGTGATAATAATATTTAACAATGCCTTATTTATTCGACACTTCTAATGAATTATCATCGATATTATTCAAAATAACTTTACACACTCCGAAGAACTTTTAACAATGGCGAAATCTTATTTCTTACAAGTGGTTTACTCAAAAGGCTGCAACGCACTTATATATTATATCTTACACATCTCACACACGGCCGTCTGATCCCAAACTAGGCAGAGCCTGTACTATGGTAACCAGACTGCTGATAAACATACTTATATATTTTTAAATAGATACATAGTATAGATAAATTACACCCAGATACAGAACAAATGACCGTGTGTATCACATAATATTTGTCCTGGGTGGGAATCGAACCTACTACCTCCAGTTTAGCAGGCAGGGTCACTAACCACTGGACCAACAGGCCCGTCCAGATCAGACCAACTTTTGCCGCTTGTGAGCCGGGTGTCTATAGGCGATAGTCACTTGCTATCAAATGACGGATGTACAAAACATCCGCGTCGTCAACGTAACAATCTTTGCAAATCAACATCACAATCAACGACTATGCCTTCTAATGGAAGAAAAGACATTAGGAAATCCACAATATTTCCATAAATAAAAAACCTCATTTGGTGACAAATTCCCAGAAAATATGTAAGATTTAAAACAGCTGTCAATGCTATTAGATGAACATCAGTAACTAATGACTTCAAATTAATTTAGTATATAAAGCGTTGATTAAATGGATCGACATTCAGTACTGATTGATTCTATTACTAGCACACTTACAATGAAGTTCTTGGTGAGTAAGCCTTTTGCTCTATACCATATCTAAAATTATCCGCATTATCGTAATCAACTTTGACTGCACGGATGGCGTAGTGGTTTAAGCGGTCGCCACGCCAATTACACCTACGCTGAGTGTTGTGGGTTAGATCTCAACATGGAACAACACTTGACTTGTTGTCATGCATATTTGTAAACTCCCCTGCGACACAGGATATATTCCTTACGCGGGAGTTGTCTTTTTAATAAAAAAAACCTTTGGTTTAACTACTAACATAGTTGTAACTAAACGCAAAGTAGTTTCAAGTAGTTACAATTTTTTTTTTTTATTTACATCATTATACTGTGATGTAAATAACATCCTTTTCCATACAAGGTATCAAGAGTTTTTTAAATCTCACTATTCCAGATCATCGCAGTCTTGTTCCTAGTGGCGGTCAGTCAGGCCCAACCTTATTTTTCCGGCGGTGATGTATACGGCCGCGGGTACGGCGGGTATGGAGGAGGCTACGGAGGTGGCAGCGAGTACGATCACGCTGGCTTTGACAGAGGGGACCACGGTTACCTTGATGAGGGGTACGGCAGCAGCGGTATGAACCAAGGACACGACATTCGCCACCAGCAAAATGAATTTGATTCAGTAAGAATTTTACATACACATAACATTTTTGTTAATTTTAGTGTAGCACCGATAGTTTATTTGACTTGGTCTGTGTTGATTCATTCATCTTCTAGAATATATACTACGTTTAGTGCTTTTCTGATATGATACCTTCAGTAACAATACATAACAGTTTTACAGAACTGCAACTTTTGTTATTCTGTTCATTCTCTCTACAATTTTTAAAATTTCAATTAGGATGTTTACGCTATGTCGAGAACATTTGTGAACTCATATCTAATTTCTATTCCTCTCCCATGTCAAAATCATCCCTACACGCCTCACCATATACAGCCTGTTCTTTATGTGTCACTATCACGGCAATCATCACACTATAGCATTATTCTCTGTTTCGGATAAATAAGTTGTATTTCTGTTTTTGTAGTCGGTCCATCAACACCAAGTCTCGGACCACAACAGCGGTGGTGTGTCGTCGGGCGATCGCGGAGGCCACCTGCATTCTGGTCACGGCGGTTATGAATCAGGCCTGAATGACTACGGAAGAGACTTCGGACACGGCTACAATCATGGCATATTCTAAGCACTTTCAACGTATAATCCAGCTGTGTGCTTCTATATTTAATTATAAACATTTTTGAATATACTTTTATATGTTTTATTATAACTTTACCATTATTTATTTAGGCTTAAAAATAATATAATAGGTTAAATAAACCTCGACCTATAGCGGTATTCAGAGGCGTGTTAAACACAGCTATTTTGTCAACTATGCTTTTGAAATACTGGCTTAATATTTCCGAAAATCGTGCACTTTGAGAATTCAAGATCGGATAATTGGAAGTAAATTGATAGAATTAAGTTAAGAAGAGAGAGATGGGGAGAGGGGGAGGGGGGGGGGGGCAGAGAGAGGGTATCTGTTAAGTAATCGCGTTAATTTCCCTATATGCACGTTATTTGCCATGGGAAGCGAAAGTTTAAAAGATAGTGCAGTAATTATGGACCTAATTAGTACTAAAGTATTATTTCGCTAAGTTTGTTTCTTCATTGGACATTGATTCTTACCATTGAATGGTCCAATAAAAAACAATCAATAAAACTTTCAAGTTAAAAGACTTTCAAAAAGTATAAATGATAGTTAATTGAAAAAAACGATAGCTTCTGCATTCATCTAATCGATTAATTGTTAAATTGGTGATATTTTATCATTCATTCAAAACATATGTATACTCGTAATATTAATCACCGCCTGAGAGATAGCGCGTTCTCCAGGGAAAACTGTTCTTGAGTATTTAACCCCTATGTCTCTCAGGAGAGAATCATTAAATGGAAGATGTTCTAACATTTATAATCAATATATACAGAGAACAATATAAATGATATCCTAATTGCTATAAGTTAAAGACCATTTCTTATCATTAACTGATGACAACATAAACATGAACCAAAAAAATGAAATCGTACATTAATTTTAAAAACCGGTCAGGTCTTACAGCACAAGTAAGGAGTAAATACTGAAAAATAAAAAAGTTGAAAATTAAGGTAAATTTTGGTACTAAATTAAGGTAAAGGTAATTTTGGTGGTTTAGATTTTTGCGAAAACTTGTAAGTTTTCGCAAAAATCTAAATTTGCCCATATATTTTTATCGACCTCAGTGAACCCAGCCTATAACGACAGTCGAATCAGTCCAAAAGTAAACCCGGGTGAAAACTAATCGTAATGAGTCGACTATTCTTATATAAAGCCTAGCACCCACCAGCGCGCCGCAAAGTTCGAGGCGAGGAATACTCATCAACAGCCATTACTAGTCCACTGCTGCACATAGGCCTCTCCTTAGAAAGGAGGGTTTGGCCTACTATACTTCGCTGGCCAAACGGGTAAGTATAGGGTTTCTTTCAAATTTCCTTCTCTTAGCAGTGCTGTTCTCCTGCGTAGTTTGTTCTCTTAGTCGGCTCTTACGACACCCACGTGATGAATAGGGGTGGTGACATTCCGTATTCTGAATCCGTCACCACACGTCCAAGAGTCATAAGTGCGTTGAAATGTTTTTCAATGTGAGAGAGTCATCATTACATAGAACATCACTACTAGAAAAAAAAAAAAATTAATTTGATTTATTTTCACCCCAAGGGACCATCGTTGAAATAGTTTGTATTTGTTTTACATAACCAAGAAAGTAAAGGTAATAAAATAACACAGTGCTCCAAGATGGTGCTTCATAGTGGGAGCAGGAGCTATTTATTTCATTGAGTTAATCGTATATTCGATCCATCTATAAATACCACACCGTTAGGGGTAGGTAATGAGGCGGCGAGTGCGTTGCGAAGCGCGCGCGCCCTCACGGGAGCACAGAGGGAACATGGAGGTTCCCACACAGGGGGGGGTCGTCTACCCGCCGTAGATGGTCCGAGGTACGTCGGGGCACCAGGGATTTCCTTTCTAGGGTACACCAGGTTGAACGTCTATCAGCCGTCAACGGGGCCGCAGGCTGCCAGAGAGTGGGGACCTCTGGTGGCAGATTAACTGCTGCGGTAGGCGATAGGATGGCGGCTTGGTTGCAAAAATGCGATCGGGCCGGGGAAGCCTTTTTTCCCCGGGATAGGGGTTGGCCAAGCGCGGCGTCGATCTGGGGGGACCTGAAATAACATGGTCCGGGTCCTCCTCGGAGTAGGGCGCCTGAGTCCGGCCGTCGGGGTGGTTTTTAGTGGAAACACCACATACTCCTGGCTCCTACATCCCCACGGAGCCGGAGATCCGAAGGGATTTTCCACCCCGTCAACAAACAAAAAAGGGTACAACTGGTTCCCCGATTACTGGTACCTGAGACGGCGATTTTAGTCGGTTCGAGTCCGACATTGCCACCTGTAAGTGATATTCGAGGGGATTTCCGCTCAGAAAAAGAAAAAAAAGGGGGTAGGTAATGACAATTAAAATCGTTAGTTTGACATGGGAAGTCTGAAATATTGTTGAAGACTTTTAAGACTACAAGTCAGCAAATGCATTGTAATAAATTCAATTGAAATTAAGAACACCATTGGTGACAAATAAATACAAAAATATTATTTTTAACACATTTGATATTTCTTTCTATATAGATAATCAATTCTTCCGTACGTATCAACCTCATTAGAATCCTAGACCAGCTAAACCGATTTTGATAATATGTTTTTGAGATTTGGATGACGCCAGCATCTCTAATGCTGTAACCGGTTTCTATTTTATACTCAGACTATATTTTTTTCATGTTCTTGTGTGACTCTTTATATGGACTAGATTCTCAATCGCACCTGATAGGTGGCGCTGCAACCAGATTGCTATTATTTCTTTACCGATATCAAAAAAGACAATCGGGCAACTATCAGGCGTGGTAATATTAAATGTTTTATTTTTAAAGACAACTCCCGCATTAGGAATACATCCTGTCTCAACTGGGGACTTTACAAACATACATGAAACGGACACAAATGACACCCAGGCTCGAACAACAATTTGTGGATCACACAAAGTGTCGTCCCATGTGGGGAACACTCAGCGTAGTAGTAAGCGGCGTGGCGACCGCTTAAACCACTGCGCCATCCGTGCAGTCAATTGGTTATGCTTTAAACATATTTCGTGCGTTATCCAATAGATTGAAATTCGTTTGCCATTTTTGCTACACGACAATAAACTTATTTGATATTAATAATATTACCAACGCAATCTTATATCAGAAAAAAATAGGGTGACCTTTTAAACGTTAGACAAAACATCGGCTATCTTCAAAAAACGAAAGTCGCTGACTGATAGACGATCAATGACTATGGAATTTCGAGGTCACTTAGAGGGTAAGGTCAAATTGGCCTCGAAGAAGCGCGGCGAGCTGAACAGATCGGGGCAGTATTTCACTCCGGCCCACCACCTTGAGCTCTATAAGGTGCAAGTCCGGCCCCATATGGAATACTGTTCTCATCTCTATCTATGCAGGGGCACCTCAGTACCAGTTTCTCCCTCTCCCTCCCCTCTCTCCCTAGTCGATAGCCCAAACATCTCCGATTGGTTCAATCCCATGGCGTTACGTAGAGATGTGGCTTCACTCTGCATTCTCTATCGCATATATCATGAAGAGTGCTCCGAGGAATCGTTCGGACTAATACCAGCCGCAACTTTCCGCCATAGTTCCACGCGGCAAAATTTTCATCCTCACCACCTGGATAGTTGGCGGTCCACTACTGTGCGCTTTTCGAGACACTTTTTGCTCCGCACAACCAATCTGTGGAACGGGTTATCGTCTGCGGTATTTCCGGACCGATACGACTTTCAAGAAAAGAGCGTTCTCCTTTCTAAAAGACAAGCAACGCGTTTGCAGACGTTTATGGGCGGCGATGGTCACTCTAACATTCCCTCTAACAAAAAAAAAATTGGAATGTCAGACAGTCATGCGAAAGGTCTTTTAATGCATAAATAGATTTGGAATATCCATAACATTTTCCACAAGCAAAAACCTCATTTGATAACGAATTCCCCAAACACATGTAAATTTTGGACCAGCTAGAGAGCCTATTAAAGTCTCATCAATAACTAATGACTCGAATTTAATTTGATATATAAGGTGTTGATTTGATAGATCGACATTCAGTGGCGCTGCTATTACTAGTACAGTTACAATGAACTTCTTGGTGAGTAATAAGTACTAACTAATTATCTTAATTATAAGTTTTAATAAATATATTGCTTACTCTTTCTGTGCTACTTTCAACTTTTTCTACATTATCTCTTCTAATCGAAAAGGTTGCCGATATCTTCAATGGGTATTAGGGCATTTCGGCCCACGGACCGAAACGCCTAAAGGCTTTTTTTTCTTTGGTCCGAATAGCCACTCAGTCATTTTTGAATGGAAATATGTTTCTTTATTTCCTTAATTACAGTCCAATAACAATAATATTACAGTCGATATAACCAATAATATAGCAGAATCTTGGTATGCAAGAATAAACACGTATTTTCCACAAATAAATTATGTGATTATTTTTAATGATTAAACTTTGCTATATTACTTTAGGTATTTGAGTTGATGGAGACATCTATACTCATATTATAAAGTGGTAAAGTATGTGAGTTTGTATGTTCGAGGTTATCTCCGGTACTACTGATTTAACTTTGAAAATTCATTCATTGTTAAAAAGTATATCATCCCTGAATGTCATAGGCGCTGGCAAAAGCTAGTAATTAATAAATAAATCTTTACTTTGATTAAAATGTACTGTAATTGCATTTGTCTAATTTTTGTACCCAATTGTTGTACTAACTGTACGTGAATATTTTATCGGGACGAATCAACCTATGAAAATAAAATCCTCGGGCGTAATAACTTGCGGGATGAAACGATCAACACTAAAGGTGCTTAAAGGAGTTTCGGTCCACGGGCCGAAACACGAGCGGAACGAAACGCCCCAACACCCCCTTCATTGACCTTGTTAATCACTAAAAATGCAGTATCTAGACTTTAATTCTATCATTTAAAGTAGCTTTACATATTTTATATTATTGGTTATTCTATTTTTATACATCAAATAATTTTATACATCATACTGATCTTTTTGCTGGAGCTAACTTTTTGCTTGTTACAATTTTAAATAAATCCTCTAATTATTTATTTTATTTATTTATTTAACTTAATGCACTAGTTGTACAAAGGCGGACTTAATGCCCAAGGCATTCTCTGCCAGTCGACCTCGGGTGATTTAGAAAAATGAAGCTGTAGGTGCAAGAGAAAACAGAGAATTTGACTTGTTTACAATTAGTACAAAAACCTTTAAGGGCTAAAAGACTCCCAAGTTATTGTTTTAAAAACCCCTGTTATATACAAACACAAGCTTTTGCCCGAGGCTCCTATGTTACTCGCTGATAATGTAGCTTTCCATTGGTGAAAGAATTTTTTTAATCGGTTTAGTGGTTTAGGCGTGTAAGCGTAACAAACAAACAAACCCACTTTCACATTTATAATATAAATATGAAAATACATTGAAAGATGGAGATTTTTAACGCAATTCGCTATTTTTTTTATCTTTTCTAGGTTATTGCAGTATTGTTTTTAGTGGCGGCCTGTCACGCAAACCCTTATGGTCGGTACGGAGGGTACGGCGGGTATGGAGGAGGCTACGGAGGTGGCAGCGAATACGATCACGCTGGCTTTGACAGAGGGGGCCACGGTTACTTTGGCGAGGGGTACGGCAGCAGTGGTATGAATCAAGGACATGATATTCGCCACCAGGAAAATGAGTTTGACTCGGTAAGAATTTTGAAAACCTGCGTTTTATCTTCTTAGAAGCCTTTCTAGCAGAGTGTTTATATATTTGACTGCAACATCAGAAGATGTCAGTTGGATTCCCTTCCTTGGGATTGGTGGTGGACATCAAACATGCAACGAAACAATTTGTTAACAACGGTTTTCTGTGAAGCAGGTCGAGCCGTCCCATTTGTGCGCTACCGTTAAAAACACAAACATCGTTAAAAATCTCTAGTGACAGTAAAGTCATCGAAAACTTGTCTTAGTTCAAAGTTTTATTTTCGTTTTCCACAGTCAGTCCATCAACACCAAGTCTCGGACCACAACATCGGTGGTGTGTCGTCGGGCGGTCGTGGAGGCCACCAGCATTCTGGTCATGGCGGTTATGAATCGGGCCTGAATGACTACGGTCGAGAGTTCGGACACGGCTATAACTATGGGATATAAGAACTATCAACCCAAAAAATCTAGTTGTTCTAGTGATTTCAATATACCTTCATTTGTTTTATTGTAACATTGCAAGATGGACGTTTAATTTCGGGACACCTGTTTATGTTTACAAACTTAAAATTTGTTTGTACTATTGAATAAATTATTTTAAAAGGTTTATAACTATCTTAATGTTTTATTTGATCTTTGATGATTTATTGTGTATAACGATTATCACACCATATCTTCCTTTTTCTGTTACCGTACCTTTCACAAAAAAAAACAACATAAAGAATAAAAGCTTTAAAAAGTGATGATAATAATACAACATTTACATAAAAAATACTAACTACAACTATGTTATGAAAGAACGTATTTTACAAGCCTCATAACACAAAATCAGAATCCTAAATACCACCCTAATATAAGATATTCATCAAAAAAATTCACATCAACACGCTTCACTGGTCACCCTAACACTTTTCATTTCATGTAGACCCTCACACTACATCATATCGTACTGTACATGTATGAATATATCAGACACAAAGGAGATTCTACTCACTTATGGACAAGCAGCCTATTACTGATCCTCTCTCCATTGGTCTGTATGCCAAGAATCGAATGTCACTTTAGTATCAAAATGTAATTTTTAAAGAAGATTTCATGTATACACAACAATCTATTAAATACTTTTGTTGTTCTTCAGTAAGTGAGTGAGGTTACAGGAACCTTTAGGGTGCCTCTCTCTAAAGTAGCTAGGACTTGGGGGGGGGGGGGGATTCTAAAGGCGGCAACGCAGTTGTGAGTTGCACGTCAGCTGCATTGCTCTGCTGGTTTGCTCCCTTTTACCATAAAATAAATCAAGTTGACTAATGAGAGGTGTATCAAAGAAAAAAAACTGGCACTCCGGGAAGTGCCGACGGAAGTAAAAACTTTTTGAAAATTCCTTTTGCTAAATTATAACAGCAAAATCTTTTTGTATTTTCGATTTTGAAAGTGATCTATGTTGTACGTATATATACACAATATATGTTTATATTCATCAACAGCCTTTAACAGTCCACTGCTAGACATAGGCCTCTCCTTAGAAAGGATATATTATATATCTGTTTATACTATATATAGTTATATTATCAATGTATTTCAACCCAAACTCAACTCTCGTGGCCAGTATATGTAGATACTTATATACAAAGGTACGGTAACGATAACAGTGTCGCGAGTTCAATGATTTTTTTCGATCACAAAAAATACATTCTTTTGTTTGTTGTTCAAAAATGCCTAACGCACTTAAAGAAGTTTTCACTTTTAAAATAAACTGTAAAACTTAAGTCTGAACTATACCTACGTACGTTAAATTCTTTATTTACAGATCAAATTTTATGCAGTAATATCTTATAACTATAACACACAGTATTTACACAGGCTGTTAGGTATCGTTGAAATTTTATTGTCGTTTCGTTTCGTCGTGTTTCGAGTAGAGACTGTGAATTTCTTCGTGTCTAGGATCTCGCCCCGATACTGTCGGAATTCAAAACACTGACTGGTATCATAAGAAATAAATATTAATAACTACCAAAATATCAGTCATGTTATCAAACATTTAAAGTTATATCTTATTTGAGTAGAGTGATTGTTCTGTTGTTATTGATATGCATACGTTAAAAAAGAATAGACAAATTAAAAAAAAATATGACATAAGTGCCCTTTGGCATGACAAAAATATCTATCCTTATGTAGTTTGTTTTCAAATCTCTATCACTCCAACGTAACATAACGTAACGGTAACGTGCTACTTTTTATAAACGAATGTCGATTTTAATCGTCGCCTTAAATAAGAACAAATACAATTACAAAAATTACCATATCCTTACACTTTTTGAATTATTTCACAGCCAATACAGGTGTTGAAGAAATTACCTGAAACAAAAATAATAAGATCACAACCTCAAGTATTAGAAAGAAATAGAACATAACATATTCACAATAGTCTAAATATGACTCAATACAGGACACAGCCTTCCTTCCAATACCTAGAATCGAAAGCTAACGAATACTTAAATAGTCGTCAAGCATAAAAAATCAAGCTTTGAGTCGTTCCGTCACAGCGTGATGTCACCTTCCCTTACAAGGCCAGCCACTGAATTACATTTGGAAAACGACCCATTGTAGACAAGATCTTTTTGGGTCAATTTGTGGTTTTTTTGGCGTGTTTTTTGGAGGTGTTTTAATATTAACGACTGTTGTTGCTTTGAAAATATTTAAGTAGCTGAGAATTTGGAACTTAAAATGAAATATCCGTCTTTTGATGTGGTACTTTTGTTTTTAATGGGGTTGTTCATTAACTTCCTTAGTTTTTACGATTCAGAAGTTAAATGAAGGCATAATCATTACTATTATTAGCAAGAAGCATGGATTTTCAGATAGGAACATGTGCTCTTAAGGATGTTTGCCGAATTTGAGCTCATCAATCAATTTAAAATTACGTAATAATTTTTCAAATCTCATACATAAGTCTGATCATAAACTAGGCAAAGCTATAATGTATCCAGACTGCAACAAAAACAGTTAATCAGTAGCAATGTGTACATATTATGAGAGATAGACCAACAGGCCCAAAAAAAAAAAAAAAGTCAGTAAAATATAGTCGGTAAAATGTCAGACACTATAGTTATTATTATAATAATATTACAGTTTAATGCTCAAAATATCCTTCAAATTTTTGCCGAAACCATGTATAGTTTAAATCATTATAAGTGCGAAAGTAAATTCGTGTTTATAACGCTTTCACCCCTTAAACTCTATCAACTCACCACATTATAAATACTCAATAAAATTTTGCAAAAAAGACATGAATTGATAGATAACATCCAACTAAGCGGGAAAGAGGCCGTGTGCCAAGGTTGGTTTTCTAATACAATTGTAGTAAAATGTGAGACATTCCCGAGTCTCTTTCAAAGACCCACTTCTGATGTAACACCATATCGGCACGATCCCCATAACCACTTAACCGTTCACCCCATTGCGATGACGCCAGGTGTTTCCATACAATAAGATAAAATATAACCATGTTGTACACTAGTACACATAAAATTTCAAGTAATCTCAGACACATTGTATTCCATACATGAACTTAACATGTCAGATGTAAGCTCAAGGTTCCAAGCCGCAGTGTTATATAGCCGCATTGCTGTCACTGTGACGTCACCGTGTAAATAGGCCGAGCCGAACCACACTATTGTATTATTTCAGCGTATTGTTATGTGTCTACATCGTCTGCTAGTTTTGTGTGGCAGGTGGAGTACATCTGCACAACATGTCGTATTTTTAAGATTTCTTAAGTCAAATACTAAAGGCGTAAATGTTCATCATCATCAAAGCTCCTAACAGTCCACTGCTGGACATAGGCTTCTCCTTATAAAGGAGATTTTGGCATACTTTTTCATTACTTTTTGGTGTGCTGTTGTCCTGCAGAGTTTGTTCTATTAGTCGGCTCTTACGACACGCACGGGATGAATAGGGGTGGTGACACTCTGTATACTGAATCCATCAATGTGGGAGGTGGTAATATTGGATAGGGTTTATCCTTATCTGTTACACTGTTTAATTGAGTCAATCGCTAGTAATAGAATAAAGTTTCTGTTTTTATGCCTTAAAGGTTAAGCAAGTGGATGGGTCACCTGATGGTAAGTGACTACCGCCGCACACGGACACCTGCAACTGAAGGGTCACACGTACGTTGTCGACGTTTGTTGTACGCCGTACGTTGACATGGTGAATTTACGTTAGTAGAATACTGATATTTTGACCGATGTCAATAGCGTGTCAATGGAATGTAATATCAAACAGCAGAATTGAGGCCCTGGTTGATAAAGCCAGCAGAAATAGTTTACCGCGTAGTGATGAGTTAGTACCTTAACAAGAACTTTTAATAAGATACCTTGTATAGTTTTGAGAGTCAACACACATTCTTATATATCAATATGTATGATGAATTGTAGCAATTACAAGAAAACATTCATTATACCGTTATATATCGCATATATAGCATGAGAGAGACGTGTTTCGGTATATGTGGATCGGCTCGACGGGCCTCACAGAAAACCGGTGCTAATTAATCGTTTCATTGGTTCGAAGGCCCAACCCCTCGTAATTAAGTGAGGGTACTTAAATACCGGTAACGTATTTGTGACTTTTAAGTTCCAGGTATCCATGGGCAGCGTTAGTTAGGAGTGACCCGTCTGCTCGATTGATTTTTTTGTGCATAAAGCATTGAATGATTTAATAGAAAAAAGCATTACTGCTAACTTTACATCAAAAAGTTAATGTAAGATTTAATCTAATTTCGATGAGCACGCTTAAATCTGCCGTTAGACAAGGATAGACAGATACAAACAGCGCTAATTGAAATAAGTAAGAGAATCGCGATAATCGTTAATCACGGAGGGACGCAGGTGTCGCGCGTTAGCTCCTCAAGCAGAATTAGCATAAATTCAATCATTAATTAATCCTGTCTCGTCTAGGTTCAGAAGGTAACTAGTCAGTGTTGACTTTAAAGAGACGCTATTCAATGCAAAATAAGCTAAATTAGCATTTATTACATGAATAAAACCTAACACTTGTTCTAGAAGTTTTGGGGTCCGTGATTCAACGGATTTACTGATCGATGATTACACCAATTTTTATAAGAAATAAACAAATTTTTAAATAACACAATGATCTCTTTCTTCCTACCTACTTTATTATATGATTTTTAGGGTTCCATTCCTCAAAAGAAAAAAGAAAACCTTATAGGATCAATTTCTTGTCCCTTCTGTCTCTCTCTACGTTCTCGTGTATTATTATTATATTACATATCATGGAACGCGAAAGTTTAAAAGGCAATATACATATACACATCCATACATGTCTATAAATATAAGCCAAAAGTAGCCTATTCCTAAAAACAGACAAAAATCGTTGAGAATATATTGCCGAGTCTTTTTTCTTTTTTTTAACCTCACACATCTGACACA